TGTCTATGCTTAAGTTCGGATTTAATAGTGGATATATTAACATACAACTTGTATTCCTCCTTGCCTTGTCCAGTAGGATATCTATTGGAGCACGCCTTTGCTCCTCTACAGGCATGCTTCCTTTCCTTAAAATCCAAGGTCTGGGAAAATGGTGTGCTTGCACAGCCAAGTCTTATTCCATCTGGAAATAACGCCTGGCTAATTTGCGTGCCCAGACTGGGAAGCACAGAAAAGAGAGCTCTTGGAGTCTTGAACCATAAACACAGCCAACGTCAACAAGGTTTATTTCATAGCGAACATTAAAGAGGAAATTTTCAAAGAAACATAAGAAAATCATGAGTAACCTGGGATCAAACACCTTTAGGCTCTTCTGAATCGCACAAGCCAAAAGAAAGCAACTAGTACGCTGGCCCATACCAATTGCCACATTGTAATACTCCCTGAGGCTTTGGTCCAGGAATTAGGATCTTGTTTATGGAAATACAACTAAAGCACTTTCACTGCTTTCCTGTAATAGACACTTTAGCACCTGGTAATCAAAGGGAAATGCTGAAAAATCTGTCCTTGCATTTCACTAAACACATTCATTAGAAGCCTACTTGCTTTCCCAGCCTCAAAATCACATGCCAGGGCTTCTTTTTCTCATTAGTAACAGAAGAGACTCACATCTCCAAATCCTCTGCTGCCCCACGTGTCTACCTGGAAAGGCTTCCTACTTCCCACTAGCAGACATTTAACTATTTATAATGCCTTGTTCAGAGGCTCAAGTGGTTTGATTGTCAAATGTTTGCACTCTTACACCTGCTGTGATGATATCAAATGGGAATCCTGCCCTTAACACCCACAAGCGATTCACATACATGTTTCCCTTGGCTCAGGCTGTGCTCAGGCCCATCTGTTTGAAGGCACCAATCCTGCTTGCTGGTACAATGCTTACACAGATATGCCAAGGAACAGGAACACTAAGGAGGATAGCATTAGCTCATATAATGCTACAAGAGTCCTTTCCTTTACTGCCATACCTGCAATCACATAACAGAATTTCTGCCACAAATCTTGCTAAAAAATAAAATTAATAAAATTAAAAAAGGGCTTGCATCTACTCAAAGTCTGCTGCATAGAAGTGAGACAAACTCCAAAGGAGCTCCAGGCGTAAGCTGCAGCTGCTGCCTTTCTTCACAGGTTTGCCCAGCAGCCCATGCCTGTAGCCAAGATCTGCACCTCAAGAAACAGCAATTCTGCTGTGGGAAAGCCTCCTTCTTATGTGAAGTAATTAATCCACCACAGGTGATGCGAAGTCCTTCACAAAGCTTTTCCTCCCCGTGCTTAAGTCCTAAAATTCTAATGAAAGACATAGCTCAGAAACAAAGGACTGCAAGTAATGAAATGATTAAAGAGAAAATACAGCTGAAAACTCCTGGAACACATTATAATTTAATATCTCATTATTTAATGGGCACATTGAACATATCATGAATTTCCCTCTGCTCCATCAAGCCCACTTCATATTCCACAGAGCCTACGCTTCTGTATCTCATCCAAGCTGAGATGAAATTTTCTTGTATATCAGAAAAATGTACTAGAGAGTAGTCTACAGTTTGATAATGTACAATCTGAATGTTCCTAACTGTCTAACTTCCATATCATTTAGAGAATTTGCACTCATGCATTTTCAATGCATAATGAATGGCTTTAGCAGTTCATGATCATTAAGTAGTCATTTCACATGCCCTTGTGATTGGTAAATAATAACACAGAGAAAAAAGTAACAAGGGCTTGAATAACTGATTCTACATAAATCTAGAGGTTCTTGTTTTAAATCTCCGTTATCATGTTTTAGATCTGAGGCTTAGGTCTAAACAAACATGAACTTCAGGGACATTAGAAATTCAGCTCTGAATCCTGACCTGGATTTTCTAAATGACCTTTGTAATTTGGAACTAAATCCAAATGTTGCAGAGTCTCTATCTGGAAGCCATTCTTTGATGGATTCTCATTCAGTCTAATGTAGGTGGCAAATTATGTCTGGAATAAGTCATTTTCAACAGATCCACAGTCTGACATACAGACTACTCCATCCAGCAGGTTTAAATGGAAAACAAAGGTTCTTCATTTACCTCTGAGGCTTCTGTCCGATTTATTTTGCTTCTCTGGTTTGCATTTATTTGATTGTTTGTGCCAGCTATAATGGAGAAAACGCAAGCACTACTAGGGAAAGCTGTAATCTGCAGTGCTCTGAGGCAGTCCCTGAACCACAGCAACTTCTTCAAGATGCCTCTTCTGAATGGGAACAGAAAGGAAAGATGCCATCCTGTGGCTGTACAGGCCATTGTAGTTTGCCCTGATGTCAGCAAACTAGTCTTTACTGGCTAAGATTGAGACTGCTATAACTTTTTAAAAGGCATTGAAGCACGTACTTAAATCTACTCACACATTTCAAGTTAAGGATGCACTTAGCTGCTCAGCTGAACATGGATAGGCACAGCACAACACGCTGCTTTGGGGAAGCGGGACTGGTCACTTCCAGAGCACTGAAAGCTTCTCAAAAACTCTGGAAAATGGTAAATACATGAAATACTATTTTGTGTGACAATCTCCTCTGTCAAGAGAGAGCAATTAGGAACGTCTCCCTTTCACAGACTCTGACAGCATCTGATATGACCCCAACAGCCCCATACCCTTTCCCACCACCAAGAAAACATTGAGCATATAATACTGATAAGCTAGCAGCTCTTTCCCTAATTGAAAGGGAAGATAAACAGCACCATGGAAATAATCTTCTGAACTATACTACAACTGGGATGAATATATAAACATCGTTCTGAATAGCTGGCTTGTGGTTATTATTATTTGTCTTGATTACACATGACTACGCACAATTAAATACAGTAACAAAGAAATATATTTCACAAATGTGTAGATATTCCCAGCTGAAGCCAGTCACGCTTTCAGATGCCTATCAGTTGCTTTCCTGATGTGTTGAAGAAAGTAAATGAAGAGATAAATCAGACAAGTTACTATCTGTAGTAACTGATTGTTCTTTAAAATAACTGCAGTTTATAAAAACATAAAATCCCAATATTTCAATACATATTGTGAAAAATGTCTCCAGGGACAGGAAGCGAAGCTAGAAAAATCAGTGTTTTGCTTGCCTCTTGATCATTCCTGCATGAAGAACACTCTGCAGTGATGTCCCAGTCTGTTTCCTGAGTGGTTACGTTCACATGGAAAAGAACAACCTACTTTTGACCACACGTTGATCTGCATTTTCAGTGCAAAAATCTCAAGCTCTTGTGCTGATCACCAAACTGGAATTTTGAAGAACCTTCTGAAAGTTTCCTATCTAAATAGTGCAATGTCTTTTGTACATCTTGCCATCTCACTGTTCATTCTTTTTTCTTAAAAAGAATCACTAATATACTTCACTTCTTCTGTACTGGTACAAGATTTATCTCTGTAGATTCTTCAGCAGGACTGTCTCTGCATTTTGTGTGAGCAGTGGTTTTTGTTTTGTTGTGGTTTTCAATTTGACTGATTCATGTTTTGAATTGCTATTGCATATAGATCAACAGAACAAAGTTCATTCTGAGAGAAAGGCAACTGAAGTTGCGATTATCATACTATTTTTTGACCAGTACTATGTATGGTTCAGAGATGACCTGAACTTTCCTCCCTCATCTTAGAAATAGAAGCATGAATCAAAAGTCAGCCTTGCATTTTAATCAAATTGCTCTGATTATCTGGTATGGATCTAAAGAAGAGAGGTTTAAATAGCTTTTACAATGGAAATATTTCATAACTAATCTGACAGTACAAGCAAAAAGAAGTAATTAATAAAGCAAATGAAATTATATTGTAGCAACTGGGGAATGGTTCAGGAAAGAGCACAAAGATTACAAGAACCAGTTGATTATTGTAAATTGTTTCTACACGAAAACAAAAATCAAGAAAAATATACACGCCTTTCATGCTACAGGAAAATATAAAAGAAAGAAAAGTATAAATTTTTCTGTTTACATAAATGTTTACATAGAAAAGCTTGTTGAACTTTCCAGAAAGGGAGCAGTCTCTTACTAATGAAAATAGAGATTTGATGATACAGTTTTCTTTCAGCAGAACTGGGGACAATTTTCTGAAAGTGAATTTGTGTGCGTGTTCACAAATCCGAGTGGCAAATCCCAAGCTAGAATTTTTGTTGAATGCTTCGGAAGGAAAAATCAAAATCCTTCAGTGAGGACAGAGCTCTTATTTCTTACCCTTCCTATCACAATTCTTAGGGGTAATAAAGTTTTATTTTGTCCAAACACTCTCTTACCAGGAAGTATTGCTGATAAGTCTGACATCATCTCACCTGGACATAAGAGAGAAATGCTACTGGAGAAATTGCACTGGGTAATGTAGACAAACCTTAACAGCTAAGGCATAGCTGACGTTCTCCTTACATCATGAAGATCTGCTGTTGAGCTCTGGACAATGTGAAACTTGATAAATAAATTCTGTACCCAAAATTGTAATTCACTAAAGGTCAGACAAAAAAAGAAAATTATCATATACTAATAGTTTAGAATCCTAAATTGTTCTTTTTCTAGTTTTAAACCTCAGTGAATTAATTACCAAACTGCAAAATAAACAGGTGGCTTCTCCCTGCCCAGTGCACACCCATCATTCAGCAGCAACCACACACTGGTGCCCTATCAACATCATCTAGGCTGAAACCAGGGCATGGGGAGGGTGCATTGCAATGCTAACTCAAGTTTTGGCAAGCAAGTTTATGCTGTTTGATACACTGGCTAAACACAGACCTGTGAACAGCAAAAAATACACAGCCATGCTTTCTTTTTATAAAGGAATTTGAGAATTGGTGTCAAGAGTACCAAAAAAGATCATTAATTTATGTTTGTGACTCCATTTTCTGTCAACATAAGCACATTATCCGCAGATTTTCAAGTGGAATTAATGGAGTTGCAATCAGACATTCAACTAAAAAAAACTGATCATGTCTCTCTACTGTTCTTTTATAAGCCCCCTCTTCCCAAAGAAAAGTATCCCTTGCTTCACAACCATGCCTTGTTCATGTCATCACTTTTCGGCACTACATACATTTGGGAACAATTACTGTCAATCTGACAGTCTCTGTTGAACACCTTGATGCCTGACTAAGAATTGTGCCCTCTACCTTCAAACCAGTCTGATGCAACGATTTCAGAAAAACAAGGTCAAATATCCCTGTAGTTTTATGGATTTGTTGCTCTTTTGTTGCTGTTATTGTTTTAATATAAATATTAAAAGTTAAAATAAGTTTGGGTACTTATGTACGTTAACTATATTATATTTTATACAAAGGATGCTCTGAAAGTAATGCTTCCTGTTTTATGATGTTGGCCCACAACATACGAGGCAGATGATGGTGGTATGGCAGTAGAGGCTGAACCTTACTCAACAATATTCCATTACATCTTGTTGCCATGAAACAGATGGCAGTCCAACAAAATAGCTTCTGACATGGAAGAGTGTCTGATGCAAAGTGGTGAAACTGAATTCCTCCATGAAGAATGTACAGTGACTTAGTACAGGGACGTGTACACACAAAAGACGTCCTGAAAAGCAAAGCCAAAGGCAGTAATAGTGTTACCAGTGCTGAAATACAGGTGAGGATAGTACTCATCTTCAGTGAGAGTAGAAGCAGCGGCAGAGTTCTGAGGTGCTGTGGCATGTGGCTCATTGCATTCCGGCATGTGCAGTCATGGCTCAGGTGCTTCCATATTGTCAAGAATCACAGAATGTCAGAGATTGAAAGGAGCCTCTAAAGATCATTTAGTCCAATCCTTCTGCCAGAGCAGAAATACCTAAATTAGGTCACGCAAAAACACATCATCCAGACCAGTTTTCAGTTTTCAGTGTGCCATTAATGATGCCTGCGCCATTTCAGAGTCATAACAAGTCAGGAACTGTTGCTAATGATGATGTTGGAGCCTGTTGCCACTGCTAATTGTAGTAACCTTCAGAAAGACCCCTTCCCTAAGAGATGGTAGAAATGACAAATTGAAGTGTTAATTTGTTAAACTGAATATTGCTGTCAAATTAGCCTGGCTTGATGCTAAAAATAATTCCAGTTATTACTACAGAGCCAAAACAACTACCATTTACTGATCCAAAACAAACACATCTTCTGCTAATAAAATACCATGCGTGCAGAGCAGTCCCAAGAGTTCAAGAGGGGGGGAAAAAAATAAAAAGCAGAAACAGGTAGGTGACATGGAGTATTCAGTAAAACTGAAAGCTCATACAAACGAAGAAAGCCTGCAAGGATATTCTCTCTGAAGCCTCTTCAGAGAGTGAGCATATGCATCTACTGAATACCCCTGAGGTTCACCAAAGAAGTGTCTTGAACCCTGGCTTTTCAGTCTGCTGCTCTGGTAGCATCAAAGACTGTTCACTCGTGAGAAAATCAACAAGTACCAAGCAATGAATTGCCCCCCCAGCACATTAAAAAATAGATATATATACACATATATAAAATATAAATAAAATATATATACATATATATATATGTGTGTGTGTATACACACACACACACACAGTCACAGTTGTGTGGAGGGTTTTTTTGTGTTTTTTTTTTTTTTTCTATTGGATGAATGCCAAGCTGAGTCCTTTCCAAGCATCAGGGCCAAAATACCATCTACAATTAAAGCACTGCTGACAATTTCCATGAAGCTGCATGAGACAGAGAAGATTACAGGTCACCCCACAGTTTGGAGGTATTTCAGCACTGTGATGGTAGCAGTAGTAAAAATGTGTTTGTATCAGTAAAGTAAGCAAATAAGACTCAAAAGCACATAGGCAGCAGACTGAATAAAAATTCACTTTTCAAAACAAAACCACAATTTAAAGTGCCAAGGCATGGTGGCCTACAGAGCCTCATTGCTGGACAGCTGCTCTGGAAATCTAACACAACATAATTGAAATTAATGACAGAATAAAGAAACACTCATGAGACTAACAGAATTACTGCTTTGAAAAATTGTTTTCTTCCACTGACATATTCATGGAGATATCAGATAAAGCAAATTTATGTCATTTGATAAAATACCATCGTATAGCGCTAATTAGCAGGGTTAGGTTAACCCAGGCACAGTAGAGGCTCTGCCATATTCTCACAACATGAAATACTCAGTTGTGAAGGAAAGAAAAGAACCAACACGAACAGCGAGCATAGCCTTCACCATCTGGCAACTTGCTCCCCTTGTCTGGGAGCAATGTCTAAGCCCACTTTAAAAGATCAATGAACTGCAAAAGATATCTCAGTCTGCCTGGGAATCTGAAGAATGAGTGGAATTTAGTTTTGCTTTGATTTCAATTTACTCTGCCCACATCACAATTCTGTAACATACTGTCAACCTAAAAATATTTGTTCTGCTGCAAGTGCCCTATCACTGTAGAAAGGGAATTAGTGATATTTTGAACCTGATGGGTAAATGACAAAAACATATGACATAAAGTGGGGGTGTGGTGGTGGAAGAGGGGATAATTGCAGGAAGAGTTATTCCCTAAATAACCTAGTAAGCCAATATTTTAATACTCACTGTAAAGCATGATCATGCTGCTCATGAAACAATAAATCCTCCTTTGCATTGGTGCTTGAGGGAGGGGGGTCAGAAGGTGGAGAAAGCTCCTTTCCTCCTTCATTACAAGCAGCAATGCAAAATGCTTTCATCGAGCTCTGTAATGTCCTAGAAGGGATAATCAATTAACATTTCTCCTCACTAACCCACGTGAGAAAATGGCACAGCTCCTTGGCTCCTCCTGCTTGCCCCCCTAGGAGTCCATCCTACAGATGGCCCCAAGCACTGCCAGGGCCTGACCCTACCATCCTTGCTCCTACCCACCAGCCTTCATCCACTTCAGTGCTTGACATCCAGACCTACACCTGACAATTTAAGTAGAAGCAACATTGATTAATGCCTAAAACTGCAAACACTTGCATATACTAAATCGCCCTTATTTGAAACTGTAAAGGAGAGAAACATCAACTTTCTCAAAATTGAAACTGGCAATGAGAAACGAGCAAAGTCTCTCTCTAATTAACGCTAATCTGTCTGCCTTGTGTATGCACTAGTGGGGGAACCACAGTGCGCTGCAGATCAGAAGATAAAAGCACACTCAGGAGTTCAACTGCTTTAGAAGCACAACATCTGTTAGCCATGTTATTCTGCAGCTACCCAACAAGCAGAGCACTCTTCATAACGCTTAGCAGCTTATGCATTATGGATGTAGCTGAGGCACTTGGGTTCAGGGTTTCATTCTGCGCAAGCCTTGAATTATAGCACTGTAGGCAAATCTGGGCAGTGTCTTTCTCCTCTCTCCTTCCCTGCACAGTGAGTGAGAGCTGAAGGCCAAATTCTGCTCCCAATTACACTAATACGGCCCCACTCCAGAGCAGCTCGGCTCAATACAGAACGCTGTCTGACTCCATCCTTAATTCACTCAGTGTGCGGAATTGGAATGAACTCACAAGAAATCTAGTTAGAAGAGAACATTTTAAGTCACCTATCGTGGTAATATCCTTGATTGATTTATCCACTACATTATTATTACAAATTAAGAAAGGAAGGGCACGCATTGATGGAGTTTATAGGTTTTTCAATTACTGTTTTCCTATTATTCTTTCTATTATTCAATTCACTACCTTCTTCATATAATTTATCTATAATTCCAATACATTTTAGTGCTTCAGAGTTTATGAAGTATATACAAAGCATATAAATCCTATTAACTCATCCTATCATACTTATAATTGAGTCCATTAAAATGTTATGTGTGACTACAGTATAAAAAGGGAGGGAGAATAAAACTGAGACCAAGGGGTTAATAAATTCTTGATTGCTTATGTTTTCCCAAATTTCTCTATCATGATGAAGCCAAGACACAGCATGAATATGCTGCATTCTGCTCCTCATGGTCTGGAATCAGTGAACTTGAGACTTGCGAGCAGCTTACATTGATTTTCATATTCATTTTAAGGCAAAAAGGGATCATTTTCTTCTTATAATATGACTATTGGTACGACACAATCCCGTAGGATCTCACTGGAGGATTCCTTGACAATTTCTGGAAGAGTGTTTTTAAAAGTATCCAATCTTCATTTAGGGATTTGTATCTATTTGTTCTGAACTTGTAGCACAGTCTCACTGATAAAAATAGACATCCTGGTGGGTTTTCATATACGTATACGTGCCCATGCTAGGTATCTAGCTTAGGAATGATTCAACAGATCAAAGTGAAAGGCCTGAGTTCCCTATCTAGTCAATGAAAAGATGCAGTCAACTCTCGTGCATTGAGTCAGAGCACTTAAATGAGACACTAAAGCTAATGCTAAAGCAGACCAGGGGAATAAATACTTTTGCCATCTTCTGAATGGATAAAGATCCTTCTACTACTGTTGGCTGCTCCTTCCAACTATTATCTTTGTCAATGTCAACATACTTCATTTGCTTGACTGAATAGGCATCTGCTTTCTCTATAGCCGCACATACATCTCAGTAATAATTAAAACACATAATTGAATTTGCAAAGCAAAAGCAAGAGAAATTGTCCAGAGCTCAGTTCCCTCACAGGCTCTCATGTTTTCCTTGTTTGCTGCCATTGGTATTTTAGCAGCAATGGACACTGCTACGCAACACAGGGCTTCAGTAACAGAATCAGAATTGCCACAGAATGATTCTGCGCCTACAAAGCCATTAAAGTGCTTTTGGAAAAAAAAAATAAAAAATAAAAAATAAAAAAAAATCACACCCTTGAACTCTTGATATGATTGCAGCATTATCTTGGCCATAGAATCCCTGTGCAACATCAATATATTAATTCCTGTTTGTAAGGCACTTTGAAGATGCTCATGTGGCTACATTGCACCCCACAGATTTCCACTAGTGCTAACACGGCTCAACTCTTTCTCCCTCCTCCAGCATGAACCAGTCTACAGAGAGGAACAAGAAAGACCAGGAAATGTGGTTTTTTTCCCATACATTTCAGAAGGCAAATTTTGATGTCCCAGCATGAATTATTCCACACCATACAAAAATGCTAATTGAGCCTTTATTCTATAACCTGACAGATGTTTCTGATGCACTGTTCATTCATTTCATACTGTACAAAAGCTAAAGTTTTAAACTTTTTGTATTATGATGAAATTAGCATTATTCATGAAGACAGCCATCAAAAGTCTACTTGAAGGGCTGCCCCATTCCTCAGAGGGAAGAATATGGAAAGATATAGCTGAAGACTGCCCTCCATTGTGTATTAGGTAGATACACCACATCTACACACACACACACACACACACACACACACACACACACACACACACACACAGGCCCCCAGTCCTCTCAGCACACCTGCACTTGCCATTCCTATTAGGAGCATATTCTCCTCCATGTAAATAACAATATTGGTTGCTTAAACTTATTTTACACATCCAGCCTACACAACCCTACGTTCCTTATATAGAGAAGCAAGTCAAATAAATGGTTGCTTTTGTGATCGTAACACCACAAGGAAAAAGGCAAATCCAAAGAGTTTGTGCCTGTTCACCCTGCTCCTTCATCACAGGGATATTTGCCTCAGTGCACTTCTGTCCTGACAGCAGCCCATGCCCACCTGGGGTGCAACTCAATCTACAGCCCAACATGTCCCTCAGCATAGCACTGCTTCTGGCTATGGCCAAGCTGCACCTCTACTGCTGTTGTGCTCTCTGGGTTGAACAGGAAAAGTCAAACTCATCTTCACTTTACTCCCCCAACTCTCCTATGCTCTCAGAGGTATGGCACGTATACCCCACTAAACAGCTCTCACTGTGTGCTGATACCTCCCCCAAGGAAGCCATCATTGGCTCCCATCTTCTACTTCATTGCAGTGTCACTGCAAGTTCAACTTCACTGCCTTTCCATTTGCCCTTTGTGCCAAACATTTACCTCATTTCTGTGTCTTTTGACTACTTTTCCATACATACATACAGACACCACTATTCCCATTTCTCCTCTGTTTTCCTCAAAAAAGCACATTAATGCACCGACCTACTCAGCCTCCTGCCCTTGTCATTGAACGAACATGTGAGAAAACACTTGTCCTTTTCTCTTTGCTCTCTGGAGTAGCTGTCAGGAAAAGAAAGATTTCTTTAAAAAATACAGATTCAGCAACTACACACTGCTACTTAGAAGGAAGGCTGTCCCTTGGGTAGTGATTATACATATAAAGACAAAAATAAGTCTGAAGGATGCAAAGCTGTGTAGCAAAGGTAAAAATCTGGAAGTCCATCTTTGCAGTTCTCCAGAGGTTTAATAGACAAATTGAAAGAGGCTATTTTACACATCTGTAAATGATGTGAAAACAATTCATTCGCCTGTTGATCATAAATTGCACTACAACACATCTCAAGGAATGCATCAGTAAGAGGATAAACAGAAACAAATACACATGAAATAGATACACAGAAATGAACATCTCTAACAAAGGATCAGCCTATACTTTTCTAAGTTTTTAAAGCTGTATTTATTAATACATATCACAGTTACTATTTCTTACAACAACACTGAAAAACAGAAGGGATCTGGCACTTTCTTTATCAAAGGAATTGAGTCCCATGATCATTGCTTTAGTACTTACAGAGAACATCAGCAGATATTTACATGGAACAAACATTTCTAAAAGATGAATTTAACCAAGCAAAACAGGCCTATGCCAAACTCAGCGCTTACAACAAAAGACAGGTAAGTGAGTGAAACCTGGAAGCACGACACACACAGTTCAGCTACAAGTTTACCAACGATTAGGCTAAGGGTACACGTGAAAAATGGGAAACACGAAGACTTCCTCACTTGGATTTGTAAAACCGAAACTAGATTTATGTTTTATGTCCTCCACCAGATTTACGTTCAAAACTCCTCACAATGAATGCAGATCTAATACAAGCAACTGGGCAATGCTAAGGACTCAGTGCTGGCCTTCCTGCCAACATCTGAGGAATGCGAGAGCCAGAGGCAAGCTTCTCTGCTGTGCTGCGTGGATAGCAAAGGAAACAGAACGGGCAGATTTCCTTAGTCACATCAACTCAGCTACTGTGCTGTTTGGGATTCTTAACAAGGAAGAATGAGAAAAGAGGGATGATTTTTCAAATATGTACTGCACAATGACCTTTTACAATAGCCTTAGATTAAAGCAGTCTTCTCAGATATAAGACAGTGGGATGTGATGTACATTTGATTTGAAAAAGTCCTCAAAAGTGCTCCTGATCAATATGCATCCATAAGTAAAATACCTCTCTTCCTTTCCCTGATGTATTATAAAGAAAACAGATACACCTTCCTTCTAATGAAAGACCAGTGCCTACTGGCACATGATAAGGGCTCTGCATATCTACAAGGTGGTGGCCAGCAGAGATGTGCTCTGATTACCGTCACATGGCTTAGGCAAAAACAAAGTATTGAGCAGCTGTGTGTTACCTGGGAACGTTCCCTATAATCCCAGTTCCTTCTAACCCAAGAAGGGGAGTTGTCAGCTCTCACGTCACCTGCTCACACAGCTGTCCTCTGAAGCACCTGGTAATGTCAGGCATTGGGACTGCATGCAGACAGCACCCACTCCAGGCAACGTTCCTCACTGAACACTTTCCAATTGTCTCAGTTTGGAAATGCCCTGTCAGATGATGGCAGCGCTGGCCATGCGCACAGAGAGAACCACAGCACGGGGCAGCTTCATTGCTCTGTCAGTTCAGACACCTTCAAGCTAAAGTAGCGGCTGCTGAAAGATTCCTTAATTATTTTTGTGGGATATATGAGATGCTGTGGATTCATCTCATCTATATTTCAGCATCCACCACACTGATCTAGTCACCCTTGATGCCCTTTTTAGTCTATTGAGAAAGTTAGACATCTGTAAACATGCTTGATTTAAACTGCTTTAGATATTTTACTTATTTTACTGCTTTAGATATTTTACTTACTTTTACTTAAATATTCTTTTAAAAATAGAGTGGATGACTCTTAGAGTGGATCTAGATGACAGGTAAGAAGTGGATATCTGCTGTATGTACACTGATGTATCATCAGAGGCTGGATCTCTTCTGCTTTATGTGGCTGCATTTCACAGAGATAGCTCGAAAGATCATGATGACTTCTGTCCTTGAAATCTATTAATTTTCTAATTAAGACTAATTAAAAAGAAATGCATATTTACATGTTTTTTTTCCTAGACAGCTCTCTCTTTCATCATTAAAACACTGACATTTTTCAGATGAGCGCCACTACTAACAAGGAAACGTTAATACACCTTATTAGTATTCCTTTCTAGTAGTAAGACAATGAGCTTGTCCAATTACACATTTTTATACCATTAAAAACATAGTGTGAAGCTTCCATGTAAATAGGTTACATACAAAGGCACACCAGTTAGTGTAAAGATTACAGTGTAAATAGAAACTAACTGAGTAATTCTTCCAGGTACTGGGGGAGCAGGAAACGCATTGTGACAGGAAATACTCTGCTGCAGCTCGTGAAGTCTCTATAAATTGTCAGACAATAATTTTGTATTAAATATCTAGGATGAGACTGAGTGATTTAGAAGCAGGAGAATTACAGGAAGAAAGCAGGGGGGTGCAGAAGTAGGATATGTCTTCTCTCAAGCTCCAGCTCTTTCTTTGTAGCTCTTTTGAAAAGCTAACAGTGGCAGAAAACAACAGGAGACGTGCTATTTAAGCACAGGTAGGCCATTAATATGTTGTTTAGGGTAATTAAAATGCACTGCACAGGATTAGTTGCCTGCCAATCATCCCAATTAAGCAGGCATGTCATTGATCAGGATAGCAATTAAGAAAATTCTAGGGTATCAGCAATTTATTCTTAACTGCATCAAACTAATTGCTTTCAAGCATAGAACCAGATTCAACATTCTTTACAATAGAGGAGAGAGTTATTGGAAAATTTCTTGTCCTTTTCCAGATGAAGTACCTATTGGCTAAACGGGACTAGGAAAATTTACAGTACTCTAAAGCTCAACACAGTCATGAATTATTCCGTCATTATCTGCAGTTAGCAACAGGAAATGATGAGATAAAATGGACTTACTTTAGTGGTGTTGATGCAGATCCGCAACGTCCCTGCAAGCAAATAAGCAATCCAAAGCATAAAGCCCCCACAGCAGCAGAGCATAGGGGCTTTGAGAAAGCAGAAGTACAGCCCTGCAAAGCTCCAAACACTTGGCACCCACCTGCAACAGCACACATCCAGTCTCAGCTCAGTGGACCAAACAGAAAAACCTGGATAATTAGGCAGAGCAAGCAGTGCTGGTCCACAGCAACACTGAGAAGTCAGATTTAGTCAGAATCTCAGCCCTGGCTCAAATTAGGAGCCTAATGAACCTCGTTAAGGCTACAGAGAACTCTCAGCTGCGCTGCAGTGCATTGCTCTGTTCTTCACCTTTTTTCTCTTTTTCTGTCATATTGTTACTGTCTGTATAGCTTTAACTCATGTGCACCAATAAGAAGACAAATCTCTTAACTGAAATGCTGACTTTTGTTCTTCTTATTGCTTTGTCTTAGCATAGAAACCAAGGCAAGCTTAGGGAAGAAATTAGAACAATATCTAATCCCTCCAAAAAAAACACTGATGATATTTGAATGCTTATGTAGAGCAGCATGTATCAGTATTATCTGGAAGTAAGCTTCCAATCTTTGCATAGGATTTTACATTTCTGAAAAATCAAATATTTAGTCTTATGCAAGTATGTTTCATATCTTAAAATATTTATTATGCAGAGAGTGTGATGTTTGCAGTTAATTGTGGGATACATTAATTATCTCTGTATAAATACGCTATTTTGCAAACTACTCTTTACAGAAGGTGTATTTTACTTATTCAAGAGTGTCATTTCCCTCTGCAGGAGCTGAAGTTCCTAAAGGGGAATGGCAACAGCAATGTGGGCCCTCGTCACACTGAAGTCACTACAAAGATGAGGAAAACTTCTTCCTCTCAGTCCTTAGAAAACATTTCCTGGCCAGCCAGGTCTGAAGCCTCTAAATCCTTGTTCAGGAAGCAAGGACTTGCAAACAAGCCTAAGTTCTGTCTCCATCTCCATAACAACACCTAAGCAGCTCCTTCCTCACGTGAATTTATCCTTCCCAGATCTCCAGACTAGGGAATTACCATTATCCCTTTTTTAGAGAAATTAAACGCAGCACAAAGAGCTGAGTAGATCGCCAGGTGGGATTTAGAAGTACAGAGCCCTAAAAGCTGAGAACATAAATCAGAGAGTTTTAAGGAGCATCTTCTCTTCTAATGAGCCTGGGATTTCCCATCATGGTTCTGTTGCAGGCATCGTTCTGTAGTAGTAGTAGTCTTGGGCAAACTGCAACCCCTCTCTTTCGGTAAATCTCCCTGTAAAATTAATGTGGCCACTCTTTTAAGAGGCACCAATACCCTGGCTTGACAGATGCAGTTGCCATCTATCCATTAGATGTTGTTGGAATAGTGAAACTTTGCACCCAGTGCTCAGGTCACCCTACTAACCTCATCCGAGCCTAAACAATAAGAGCTGCAGTGAAGTTTTAAATCACATTTAGCAGAGGTCATTAATGCTGCTGTGGATAACAGGGGACAGAAAGTGCAACGCTAGCAATTAAAATAGTCTCAATCCATCTTAATAAAAGGTACAAGAGAATACTGTACATGCATATATATATATACATACTGATTTTCCAGCAATGCAAGTATCTTCTGTACATGCATATTTGGCCACTCAGCAGGTAAACAAATGGGTCAGTGACTTAGGAGAAGTGGGTTTTTTTTGCTCTTTTTTTCTCATTTCAGGAGGCTAAAGCCTGCAATAGTCTGCATTTTAAGCAAAACAGATTCTTTCTGCTTGCAGTAGTGGAACTGTTGACATGCAGCGCTTCTTCAGCTAAGCATTTGCTTAGAAAAAGAGAACGCAGCCCCAGACCCCAAACCAGATTTTTCCTATTAATTTAACTTTGCTTGCTCTATGCTTGCTCTATGTATAATGCAGCCATTTGAAACCCTTCCATCTTGTTTGCAACTTGAATCATGTCTCTATTTTTAGAGGACTTGGAGCTACATTATGACTTTACCAAATGGAAAATGTAATCATGCCTGGTTTATGTATAACAAAGTGTGCATTTCCCCTGAGCCAGATGAACTGCATCATCAGGATTTTGGACAGAGTACATTTTTTGGGATAGTAACAATCTGAGGAACTGGCCCTGCCAGCAACTTTTCTTTCCTAACTTGCATTAGCTCAGAGTTTGTGACAGCTCCCCAGAGAACTACACTGAGGCAGCACAGCAAGAAGACACAGTGTTCTAAGAACATATGAAACCAAATGACTTAATTTGCCCATAGAGCTGATTGGGATTTTGTCTGTTCGACACAGTTAGCTTGGAAATGGGGTGGGGGGGACCATTTCTTTAGGAAGAGCATGTCTATGACATTGTTGTCACTGACACTCAGCTAACCAGCACTGGCAGAGATTGGAGAGGTTGACACATTCTCCCAAATTCCACATGGGCTGATCTACACTGCTGGACAGCATTTGCATGTAATGAATCTCACGCCTAGCTGGTCACACCGAGTGCTTCTGCCCTGCTTCAGAGCGCTTCCCTTCTGCCTTCAAGGCTCTGCATTTAGCAAGAACAAGCACAGGGAAGCTGACAGAGAAACTGAAGAAACATATGGCTGTTCTATGCACACAGAAAGTGTGACTGAGAGCTTGCTGCGTGTTGCTGCTATTGGAGCCCCTCAAACGACCTACATAAATACAGTAAAGAAAGGGAAAAATAAGCTGTTACTCTGTTCACATGTTAGCTTTCAAAGATTCTTAACCCAACAATAACTAGATGTATTATTCAAAGCATTCTGGATCAAAAACATTCTTTTAAAAAACTTAAAACACAGAAATACATAGTGTACATTCACTGATGATGATAGAGATACAGAGATAATAAGATAAAAACACCTGCATACATCTAATCTGGTTTTCCTCTCACTTACAACAGCTTAATTTTATCGATCCCTGAGATACTGTTATCGATGCAATGGAACAGAATCCTGAGAGAGAAGCATCAGCCAACAAATGTCTCTGCCTTAACACTGCTACACGGTATTTTAAAATGTATAATAAATGCATACAGAAGCCAAGAAATCCCTAGCAAAAGGAATTTGGAATCATCCACATGTGGGACAATTGTTCCTCAGCAGAGTGGTCTTCCCACAGTGGAGAAACTGTCAGCATATAATTACAGATCTCTGAAAATCATTAAATCTCCGTGTTTACTGGAAGTGCATTAGTGAGAAAACACCATGCTATTTCTCCAAATGCCTTCTGAACATAATAGCTTTTTTTCTGAAAATGAAATTCCCAAATCTACTACAAAATTACCACAAAATGTTACATTTCTCTAATTAATAATTCAAGTCTTTTCCCTACCCAAACCCATAAAGAAATCAAAAATACAATTGAAATGGTTTTTGTCTGGCAATATGTATTCCTCTTCACAGCAGCAGTTGCCACAGAAGTACTTTTGGTGTTAAGAAAGACACTTTGGGCTTGGTTTATAAACAAATTTTTGCTGGCTCAATTGACATAAATCAGGCTAACTACATGATTTACATCAACTGCATTAGATCAAATTAACTGCTATAATTGAGCAAAACCATTCAGATCTCCTAAATATTGCTAAACGAAGAAAAGCAATTCACATCAGGCAATTTGTAAGCACTTCATAGTTGTTTGAAAAGTTATGCTCCTGCTTTAGGAAACGCTGCAAAAATATTTGGCATAACATCACTCTACCATACTGTAACTTTGCTTTATATCCATTTCAGTCTTCCCCAGCACTTTGCTCTTCAGCAATTACGGCGCTCTGCAATTTAACTCTGCCACTGCTCCCACACATGGGAATAAAGGAACGGAAGGAGTGGGCTGAGCCACAGACCCAACCATTTTTCCACTTTCCAAATGAAATGCTGTGCCAATCAGCACGGCTGTGTTGGTGAAAACATAAAACTAATTTGAACAGGTAGAAAAATACAAAAAATGCTGGATAGCAAAAATGTGAGAGGTAGAACTTTCTGCATAACAGGAGATCCATTTAGAAACAATTATTTGCATCTTCCAGAGCAGTGAAGATTTGGATGACCTGCTACTGGTGTGAAGCTGGCCTTCCAAATGCTAGTCCGCTCATAGACAAACGTGTTGCAAAAGGCTGCCTGCAAGTGAAAATCTCCTCTCTTTGGAGACTGTATTGATCCACTTCTAAAGTTCCTGGCGTAATTTCATTCAGTCTTACAAAGCACCATATCTAGGCAACCAGCCTTTGGTGGGCTCCAACTTATTGCTTAAGACAAGTTTTTCTGTGTTATATCCACCGTCTCCCATTCCTTCCCTCTCGATGTTGAAATCTGTCAACATGTTTAAGGCAGAGGCAAATTGTTTTATTTTGACTTGACCCCATGGCAAAACTTTATTGCTTTCCTTCACTGCCTTCAAATACCTTATCACTACCAATTTGTTTTGTAATGAAACAGTATTGGTAATTGCCAGGAGTCTTGTCCATTTAAATGAATTTGAATTCTAGATAATAACTGTACCAGATTTTCTTCTGAAAAGTATTTAATCTGTATTCTAAAGGTGCCTAAAGCCTCTAATATCTCTGCTAGGGACTTAAACTACCTACTATGAAAAGGTGTGTGAAAGCAGAGTGCCTTTCAGAAAGCGGTGTGTGCTCTGCTAAAGTGCAGAGCCCTCAGTACCCTCCGCAGATTGTCAGAGTGAGACTGGACCTGGGCAGCCACCTGCCTTCCAGAGGATGGGAAGCTGATTCCCGTGCCTCTGATTCTTGTGAAGGCTGTACTTACATTGTATAGGTGAAGCAAGATAAGAGGAACGTTTTAATTTCACTTATAATCAGCCCATGGCAACTCATCTCCTTGCATTAGGAGGTTTCAGAAAAGAATGACACATCGAATTCGCCCTCCGCACAAAAAATGGCATTTTGCACAGAAGCTTCTTATGAGGGAAATTTTCTTTTATGGAGGAATTTTCTCTCTGCGGAGAAATTAAACAATGTAATAACCCTGCTGAACCTATAGCTCATATCATTTTTTAAGTGTAATTAATATAACTGCTTTATGGCATATGTGTGATTTCATGTTCAGACAGATAAGAGGTTTCCATCTTTCAAAAGAGAGGATTATTTTGTGACAGTCATCCACTCCTGTTTGAATGATCCACTATGAGCCATTGTCAGTGGAGGCAGATAAGCTGCGCTGTTTAAGGATAAACATCTCTTTTTCTCTCTGTATGCATGTATGTAATCAAATCAATCCTTGAATGACTCCTTTGACGTCAGTTTTGTATGATTCATGGCAAAGCAACAAAGGAAAAAGTAATTCTTTGTTTATAATTCAAAAACATGAGAAACCTGATTGTAATAAACGTATTGCCTTATGCTGAACACGTTTCTACTCTCATTTTGAAAAGCATACGCTTTTGGAACTTCAGCATTTACCACAAAGAGGATATAAACCTCGTAGAGGAAATCACTATGGCTGGAACACACCCAGCAAAACCAGAAATCCCATACCAGCTGTATGGAAACCCCTAGCCAGTTGCATGGAAATTCAAAGCCCTAAGGGGTCAGTGTTAACCTTGCAGATTTTTGAGTTGCCTATTAAAAATATT